CTGCACTTGGATTCAGCCGTCGGCATGTCTCCCAGTGACAAGTGTTTGCCATCATCCGTGTTCGGCAGGAGGTCTCCGATAGTGCACAGTATTTGTTTTGATAAGATGGCGAGTTTAGGGTTCAGGGTTTAGGGTTTAGGGTTAACCCTAAACTCCAAACCCTAATCATGGCTCAAAGGCTCAAGCAAGTCTGGCTCAAGGCGAGCATCATGAGCTTCGGCGCTCAGGCTCAAGCAATTTCGTCGGTGCCGGTTCAAGTTCGGCTCAAGCAAGTGTTCGGCGAGGGAGGCCAGAGCAAAGGTACACCGGGCTGGGGTGGTGTACATTGGGTTTGGTTGGAGAAAGGGGGGTTCACCACGGCATCGTATGAGCAAGTTCGATACAGTTGCGCAAATGCTCGATCTTGATTGGTATGCTGTTTCAGATCTCATGCAATGTATGTTTTGCAGCTGAAAAATTACAAGGGGCACCTGGGCCTTTGAATCGATTTGATCTTGGGAGATTGGTTGGAGTTGATACCGCACCGGGCCAAATAGGAACGCCCAACAGTCCTGATGGATCCTAATAGTTGACAGAGCATTTCAGAGAGCTAGAGAAAAAATGAAACAGTCATTTGACTGCGTCTAGGGGGCCTTTTGCGGTCAACAACAGAGGTTGACAAGGTTGACAGGGTTGACAAGGTTGACAGAGCATTTCAGAGAGCCAGAGAAAAATGAAACAGTCATTTGACTGCTTTTATCGTTTTTCCCATGTTTCTCGCTTTTTACATGCCTTTGAACAAGAATAAAAACTTGCATGTACGAGGCCCGAAAGCTCGCCGCTAATGCATTCATTAGACCGCGCGCGCTCGGAGCACCCCAGGTTGACAGCGTCAACCCCGTCTACCTCGTCTACCTCCGTTTTAGGCCGCCGCAAGGCTTTTTACAGGCCTTTGAACATAGAATCAAAACTTGCATGTACGAGGCCCGAAAGCTCGCTCATTGGACCGCGCGCGCTCGGAGCACCCCAGGTTGACAGCGTCAACCCCGTCAACCCGTCTACCTCTGTTTCAGGCCGCCGCAAGGCCTTCTAGACGCAGTCTACTCTCTCTTCGAAAGCACTCCCCAGGTCCGCCTGGAGGCTGTGTACAGCCAGCCTGAATGAAAGTGCGCAGCATCACATTTTCATTTTGATCCCACCGGGGCTTGCAGGAATGCAGCTTGGAGACCGCAGCACTGCATTCGAGTCACGGTCAAAAATGCATTTTAGAGGACTTTTGGATGTGAGTTCGTCTGCAGTCGGGGGAGGACGCCCCTTCTTCTTACACGGAGTTTCCATGGCATCCCGCAACCTCGCTGACTCCCTGCTTTCCTAGAATGCACCGTGGAAGGCCAGGAATCGAATTCAGAATGGTGCCAGATCCACTTCCCTGTGGTCGCACTTTGGGTAGAGATGCATTACGAGCATCCAAAAGTCCTCTAAAATGCATTTTTGACCGTGACTCGAATGCAGTGCTGCGGTCTCCAGGCTGCATTCCTGCAACCGGTGGGACCAAAATGAAAATGTGATGCTGCGTCTTTCATTCAGGCTGGCTGTACACAGCCTCCAGGTCTGGGGAGTGCTATAGAAAGAGAGTTCGGACGCTCGGATTCATTCACAGAAGCGCACCACATCAGCGTCGGAGTGAACTAGACTGTCGCTACATGAAGTATGCATACATTTTCTGATGTGGCTTCGCAATGCTTGCTGAAAGTTTCGTGGTTGCATCATTGCAAGCGAAAGTAGAGTGTATAAGCGTATCTGTGTCACAAGAACGAAGCGTGCCAGCTTGGCACGGTTCGCGATCGTGTGGCGTTGGCACAATTGAATAAGGTTTTCAATAAGGTTTTCAGACATAGATGCCGTGCTTTTTGTGGGCAGGAACAGGAGGAAGAATCACTTGTGTTTGTGCTTGATCCGGACTGTTGCCAGATGGCCCGAGCAAGTCAACATAGAACCTAGCATGCATGATTCCAAACTTTGGACGAGGTTGATGTTTCCGCAGTTTTTCAAACGCTTTTGACATGTTTTGGTTTGTTTAGCGTGTGGCAGTTATGTCGGGGGCTACGACCGAGCGTGGCACGGCGCGGCCGCCAAAGCTAGCGCAACTGACCCGACCTCAGTTCAGCTGGTCTTTGTCCGTACAGGAACCGTGCAGAGGCAGGTGGCAGCTGGTAATTATTGTGGCCATTAAAGGACATGGTCCTTTGCCCAAGACTAGACCGTAAACACAAAATCCTGAACGCCCGAAGATTTTCTTCTGAAGCTTTTAAGCTTGTAGTTTTCAGCATCGCTGCAGGCCCCCAGCCGGACCTTCCGGTGCCGTCACTGCGCGGTCAGCTTTTGCCAAGGTGCTGTTAGTGCATTGTTGAGACTGCATGGTGTTCATAACCTGACATGTTAGACCTTTCCTTGTTACGCCGCCCGCCTCGGCTTGCCGGAGAGCAGCACTGTAACACAATGTACAAAAATGAGGCGAGTGCAAGCTTTGCAACGTTCGCTGTCCACGGTATTGCTCAGTTATGTTGATTGCAAGCAGTCGCACCAAAGGAAGCAGAGAAGAGGGGAGGGGGGGAAGGAGGGACGGGGAAAGGGAGGAGGGTGCGGAAAGGCAGATCGGACAGAAAACTGGGCGGAAAAGGGCGGAAGGGGGAGGAAGATGCGCGAGGGGGGCTCAAAATTGGATGCCTCAAATGGCTGTCACCTAACTTTCAGGCTGCAGGCAGGAGGATTAGGTAGAGGGTACTTGGTTAAGCCCCCAGGACGCCTGAGGCCTGTGGCCTCGCGGGATACCGGGGCCGTCGTATCAGCAGATCATTCACAAATGTGGTGGAACACTCAAGACACCTGGATTCAAACCCAACAACTACAAGCACTGCCGCCCAGCGGACGATCGACGAAGCCGGGATCAATTATCTCAAGGGCTCGAAGGCCCGGCTGCCTCGTGGAAGACAAGGTTTTCTTGCGCAGGTTGACTTGATAAGTCGCATTTTGCCGATGAAGGTCGGTTCGGTGAAGGGCTACCTGATGGTGTCTGGCACAATCCTGGGCAAGCCGCACACATCATCGTTGGCATCCAAGTCAATCGTGCTGTTCCGATCGACTTGTTTTGCACCTTCAGGCATGTGTACTGGTACAGGCGCCCTGGCTCCAGCACGCCGAGGCCGAGGCACAACCATTCCTGGTGATGTGAGCTTGAGCAAGGTTAGGTATCAGAGTTCGGCCGGAAGCTGCGCCCCAAGATGCCAGGACCCGATTTGATTCGATCTCGGAGATGGTGCGCACCACCGCTTCAGCACTGGTCCTGGCGGGGATTGACTCACAGGTTGAATTTCCCGGTTGAGGCCTGGAGTTGACTGACACGTGACCATACGTGACCACGCTTGCGCGCATTAGCACCGGCTCGAGCGAGCTCCTCATGCAGCCGTGTCCGTGTCGCAGCAACGACCTGGAGACGCATTTAGCATGTCTTTGCATCTGGCAGTTGTCTTGCGAGCTCCATTTGGACGAGATTTGTGTGGTGCTAGTTTAGAGATCAGAGTCTCCACCTTCCTCTCCTTGCATCGCAGGCGGGAAGGGGTTGCTGTCGCCGAAACCACACGGGAACTGGGAGCCTTGGAGCGCAACTCCGCTCTGCCTGCTCTGCTCACTCTCCGCCTTTTCGGCTCAAGAGGGTCCACGTCACGTCGAGGGCTCGCGCGGGCGACTCAGCGGGCCGGGACTCGGGGTGTGCAAAGTGGCTCGAAATGTTGGATTGCTGTGCCCGGCAAGGGCTTGTGACTGGTCCCCAGTGTCTGCTCCTCTCGATCTCTTGCCTGAGGTGCTGTCTTTGCCGTGCAGTGCCTTCTTTGCTTCTCCAGCTGGAGAGGACGGGGCGGAGGGTGGGAGCTGTGCTGTAGGACAGAAAGATGTCAACGTAGGACGTCGCAGTTTGCTCTTAGGAATGCCCTCCCAGCAGGCATCCGCTTAATGCTGACCGCGTGCCATTCCGGTGGTGCCCCCGGAGTCTGAGAGTGGAAGGAGCTTGCGTACAGGCGCGGGCAGGTGCGGTTGTGTGCGGCTTCTGTTTGCAGGCTCGCCCTGCTGACCGTGTGCTGTCCTTAGTTGTGGTTGGGTGGGCCTGGCTGGGAGCAAAGTAGCCGAGGACTCTCAGATGGAAGAGCGCAGACGGCTAAAGTTGGGCCCTCGTCTGTAGGGGCCGATTTTCGCAGATGTGTACTGCCTTTGCATCTGCTTGCAAGCTTGTCTCCAGATTGTGGTACATCGTGGCGCTTGTGTTCCTGATCCTCCTGCTCTCCCGACATGTGTCAGTCTGGCAGCATGTCTTGGCACAAACAAGCGAGGACACTTTGCCTGCTTAGCGGTATTTAGTGGTCCTGATTTTTGTTGCGTTGCCAGGACGGCTGTGCGACTCAAGGCATTGAAGGACTGAACGGTTTGGGTTGCAACATGTCAAGCTGAGTCGAGGTTGGGGATGCAGCACACAAGCCCGGGCGAAAGCATGCCGGATGTGAGTCAAGCTAGCCTGACCATGTTTCATCGGGCCAAGTTTCCGGGGAGTGATTCTGAACTTAGCCTAAGAATCGATTCTGAGGCCTTGGTAGGAGTTAGAAGTCTTGAGCAAGTTGATGGAGTACACTCACACGCAGTCGAACAGAGTGTCACGGGGGCCATCTGTTGAATTCTTCTCAGTTTGATTCAGAGTCGTTGAGTTGGGGCCGGTCATCTTGACATCTTGGCACGGCCTGCTCCTGTTGTTGGACATTCAGCCCGCTGCTTCGTTGACACAAATGGTCTTCCATGGCGGGCCGCGGAAGTCTCAAGTCAACGTGGGAATGGTATTGGTTGGTTTAGGGTTTAGGGTTTAGGGTTCAGGGAACTGAGTCGCAGGACCCCCATGGAGCACGGAGCTCAGGTTTGCGCATGCCCGGAGGCAACGTCCCAATCGTATTGCCTTCATGCCAAGAGCCCCCTCTGAGGCGATGCTGCTCATGCTGGTGGACACCCTGGCCTTGCTGGGCCTTTGCCTAGACAGTGACCATGACATGCTCGACCCCCAGCGAATGGATGCAGCATGCTCTGCTCCGAACTTAGCTCCGCGAGCTCGCTGGAAAAGCATCAGTTTGCTTCGCCTTGAGGCAGTGCTGCAAGAACTGTGGCCGGGAGCTCGGAGCACACAGATTCCTTTCTCAAACGTTTTGTGGCGTGTGGTGATCGAAAGGAAGCGTCTTTGATGTTGAGGGAGCGGTAAATCGAGGATGTAATGAAATTTTTGTAGCAAAAGTAGAGCGAGCATGACCCGATTTAATGCTGAATGCACCGCCGTCGGCATCCCGTCAAGTCTTCTTGAGCACTAGGCATCATGGCCTTCATTGGTGGTGCACTGGACCGGCAGGGAATACGATCGCTGCCTCGAATCACCCATACCGACCTGTGCCGTGTTCATGCCACTGTCGCAGATGTCAGCAAGCTCTAGACCTAGAGGCAGTGCGCAAGCTTGCCAGGACTTGAGCATTGCTGTGGAATCCTACAGCAAGGCCAGGACGGTCGAGGCACCCGCTCAGTGATGAGGGCAGAGGTTCCGTGATGACTTGGATTCAGCCGATCTCAGATTCCGGCTTCGTTTTCCGGCTCTGGCTAGACTTACGGCTCCAGTTTGGGAGAATCATTCGCCGGCGTTAGAAGAGCAGCAACTGCCGACGAAGACACAGTCTCTTTTTGCTGGGATCGGCAGTTCTCTTGGACGGTGACACCGCACATCTGGATCTTCTTGCTGTCGCACCTCGCCTTGGGCTCAGTTCTGTGTGACTATCCACACTTGAGATGCCGTGTCGCCTAAGCCTTCATATCCGAGCCACACTCGCAGCATAATTTGATATATATATATATATAGATAGAATTTGGCATGGCTTACATACCGACAGGGTTCAATGCACAACTCTGCCACCAGCATTCTAAGATAGAGTGTAGACAGACTCCACAGCATCGCTGTCTTGGTCATTGCTTCGGTGTCATGCACGACAGGGATTTGCAGCAGCCGAAATCGTCGGGCACCAAGTCACCAAGCATCTTGTCTCGGCGTGGTGGACATGCACACCCAGTGCTTCCTTATTTAGCATATAACACGACCCAACCCCTCTTGGCAAAAGGCATGGGCTGCTCTCTGCTATGTTGCCCGTGCCCCGGAGACTGGGGGGTGCCTGGCCTGGAATCCTTGCCATGGGCTCCTCCAAGGTTTGCTCACGAATCGAAGACCAGGCCATCACTGTGTCTGAAGAAGTTTACCTAGCCACGCAGGCTCGGCACTCAGACCTCGTCAGCATGGATGAATGCAAGATGCACAGCTGGAGCTTTCTACGAAATGTGCCCTGTAGACTCTTTCACTGCCACTGTGGTGAAGTCCAGCATGGCAGGAAGAGGCTCGGATTTACGGCGCTGCTTTGCAGTGGTCTGAGCGGCGCGGCGGGCACGCCACCCATCTCGTTTGCATATGTTATGTTTGCAATAGAGAATCTGACGGTCTGCTAAGGATAGCAAGTCCCACATCAGTGATCAAGGAGGCTTCCGTCACAGTTTCCTCCTGACTGACTCTACCGTCATGTGCTTTCTCTGCTGAACCACGGAATATGCACGAAGACACAATCTTGTTGGGTTGCGATCATCAAAACTGGACTCGTCTCATTGCCAGGTCGCCGAGGGCTATCCGGGCAACCCGCAGAAGCTGCCCTGACGGAGCCCTGCAAAGTTTGCGTTCCTAGTGATTCAGGGTGTCAACCAGGGCCCATGAAACACTTGAGGGTCATGCCGCAGTCCAAACGGACGATTCTGTGGCTGACGTGTCGGCACGTCGCAAAATATGTGGGGGCGACTCTTGAAGTCCACGTGTCAGAGTAAGGCAGTGCTGGGGGCTTCAGACTAAGCACACGGGATCACAAGGACACTTAGGCCGTTCTCCTCTGTGCCCCTGCCGAAGTTTTTTTGGCTTGGCTCTCCTCGGGCAAGTACTGCGATCGCCGAAGACAAGCTGTGTAAGTGACCATGGCCGGACGAAGATCTGTGAGACCCCCAGCCTGCCAATTCCGCACCGCACTGCAAGAGTGTCATGGAAGCTCCCCGGCCGTGTGCTCAGAGTCAGGTTCTGCCCGCCCTTGCTGCACTCCTTGCTCTTGCGGCTGTGGCCCGGTCCCCCGGTCCCCAGTCCGATCTCTTCAGTGGGGAGAGGGAAAGGGTCTTGTGAAAAAGAGGCCCAGCTCTCCTTCGGAACGAACTTCGTGGCGCCGCCATCGGCCAGGGCGGCGTCTCAGGCTGGGTGCCCTTTTGCTGCTTCTTTTGGCTTCTCATGCCAAGAAAGACCCTGAATGCGCTGCAGGTGCAAAACAATGCGGCAGCTGCTGGTGTCACAGCCCGGAGCTTGACCACTTTCTGCCTTCCCAGGCACCAGGAGATGTTGCGAAGGATCGTGAAGCAGGACGCATTCCTGACCACATCTTTTCAAGCGCAGATGCTGAACTTATCAAAACACCGTGCGGCTCGCAAATCAGCAAATTCCGACTATGAAGTCACACCCTTCGGGCAAGGGTGTGACAAAGCTGGCAGGCCACGCCTTGTGCGTCGCTACGAAGACAGGAGGGCAACACAGGGTGTTGAATTTTCATATGCTCGGCTATCTCGGCTGAGATGTCACAAGCCTCGTCCGAGCAGGCAGGAGCGAACGTGTCGCAATCCAACACAGGCACCGGACAATCGCCGAGCTCCGGACGGCGCTTGACCGAGGGCCGGCTGAAATGCCTCGCACTTGCTGCCAAAGGCATCACCGTCGTGTCGCGAACACAGTCGGAGGAAATCCGGCACTCTGGGGATGGAAGTGGTTTGTGGTGACTCCTTCACAAGCTGTGAAGCCAACACGCCTCCTAGGCTGGCCTCTTCTTGGCAGAGCCAGCCTATGCGAACGTTTGGGATGATGTCGACCTGGCATTTGCCATGTTCAGTCAACAGTCGCAAGTTGTGAGTTGGTTTGATTGAGATTATCGTGGCAGGAGATCTTCCCCTACTCTGTGACCATCTCCTTTGCAATCATCTGGGGTGCGCCCGTCCGGCTTGAATGTGGCCTCTGGTACCTAGGTCGGACAGACAGGACCGGCAACGCAGCTTCAGAGAGTCGTGGGTCACAAAACCTCAAGCCAAGCTGGAAAAAGCCATTGTCGGCAGACAGTTTTACGGGTCCATTGCTGGCCAGGCATCATCCTCGGGTTCGTGCTGCTCCGCCTGCAGGAGGACCGGGCCGTGTCCAGTCCAGGGTCGGGAGCCACTGGGATTCCTTGGTGGCTGTTGCAATTTGCAAGTCTGAATATCAATATCGGACTTTGTCACATGGTTCGGTTGCACTCGCATCTTAACAACATTGGGCCTTGTTTATTTTGCTTGTTAACAGCTGATGGCTACATCCTTTGAGAAAAGCATGTGGAGGCTTTCCCCGAGTGAGCGGCGAAACGTCGCAGTTCTCCTCGATCTGGATGGTCGACACCTCAAGCTGCGACACTCCATGTTGCCTAGACAGTCCCTGTCGAATTTTGCCAAGGACCCGGTGTCAGGCTTCATGCTGAGGAGGTAGTCCTGAGCGCCGCTGGCCACCAGGAAAAGAGTGTATCCGTGCGCTCAGCGTAGAGGGCATCGGGCTTCTGACAGCAAGAGCACGGCACGGCTCTAGCGATGAACTGTGCGCGGCTTCTTTGGCGAGGAGTTGGATGCAAAGGACGTCTTGCAAGCAATCTCACTGTCTGTGCAGGCGATGGCCGTTGCATGCCGCTGCCGCTGGCAGACAGTCGCGCTTCTCTCAGAGCCATACCTTGCATATCTGCAGCTTTGACAGGGATGTGCTGCGACGAGTCAAGTTACACCATAGAACGTGTCGTCGTGCATTGCTTCTCGGCTTGAAGCATCCCATCATGTACGATCATCATGAACTGTCCGGCGGAAGTTGTTCAGAGGTCTGCCATATCACCTTGCAGGCTGTCCAGACATTCGAGGCTGTCCTCCTCCCTGTAGCCAGAGCCGAAGATCCAAGTGTACCGACTACGCTAAAACCACGACTATATCAGTAGCAGCACATGGGTGTAGCCCCTTTCTTCCGTTTCTCTTCGTGCGATTGGCAATGCTGCGGCTCCCATGGCCAGCTTACTGCGACTCGGAAGCAGTGGCGGCTCAGTTGAGACGCCCACAGCTGATAGGCTCTTCTTCAGATCGGCCGGCGAAGCGCGGTAGCGGTAGGCCACGCACAGTCTTATGCTGAGGCACCGGGAGACCGCCGTGGATCTTCTGCAGGAGGTGTGCGGCCTTCAGGGTCTGGCACAGGGCATCCCAAGCAGCTTCCCGTCGGCAACTCTTCCTGTGTGGCGGTACTATCGCTAGCTTCCAGGACCTGGATGCCGCAGCAAGGTGCGCTTTGATGGACGTGACTGTGTACATTGATCTTTCAGAAACAATTGCCTGCGGGGCTCGTGTACTGCTTCTGCGACTGCAGGTCGCAGATTTCAGTCAGCTTTCGAGTCATCTACTCGCCGTCACTTGCTCAAGTCGTGTTGCGCGGCACCGAGGGCAGAAGCTTTCTCCAAAGACCCGGATGAGGACTGGGCCAAAGGAAGCATGATGAGTGAGGAAACTTGAGTGTTCGGGTTTGGGAGAGTCAGCTCTGTGAGCCGGTTTTTCTTTTGCTCTGAGCCCCAAGACAAGCCAGGACCGTCCAGGGGAGCCTTTGAACGACGTGTTGGCTTGGCTGAATGTGGCAGATCTCGAGGAGGCTCGTGGCTTACCCAAGCAGATGTCTGCCGTTTGCAACTGACAGCGGACTCGCTGGCACAGCTGCCACCGATTCCGGTAAGTTTTGCAAAGAAATCGCATGTAGCCCGAAGCCTTGTGATTTTCTCGCGCGTAGACCCCATGCCATGGAGTTAGGAAATTCGTTTGATCATCATTTTGCGGGCTGCTGTCGCCCAGCCAGGATGATCCCCACAGTGCCTTCTTTCTTCCTGATACCGCTGATCGCGCTGAACAAGGCCGATGCCTCTACATAGTCATGACTACAGCAGTGCGTTACATTTACGCGGCGCGAATAGCCAGGGGAAGATGTGGCACCGTTTCGGCGGAGACCTCGAAGTCCGCCCACCTGGTCACCCAGTGTTGTGGTGCTTCCCATGCTTCGCCTTGCGGAGCTTTGCGCAGCACACCAGTGTCGCCAGATCGTGTTTTTCTTGAGGAAAATCTTCCAACTACTGCGACGCAGAGCAGGAGGCAAAGTGCCGAAGGGCCTAATGCCGACTTAGCCGCAAGTCCTCTCTTCGTTGGTTTTGCAAGATCAGCTCACGACACGGACCAGAGATGCTTGGGTCTCACAGGCGGCGCCTGTCGGAGAGTCCGCGGATCCTGAGGAGGAGGAAGCCCCGTGATCTGACCTGGTAGGCCCCATAATGGCCCATCAGGCATTGAAAGAGAGGTCCGATGAAGTGCGGAGATTGGGCCTCTTAGCCAAGCTCCAAGCTCTCTGAGCTTGCAAGAAACCCTTTCTGTGGCTGGCAGGAGTGGAACCGACGCTTTCGTCGTACAGGGGCCGCTGGCAGAATGGCTCCTGGCTAAGTTCATCGACAAAGCGTCCGTGTTCTCTTGAAGAATCGGAGGGCTTTCCCGAGGCTTTCGTCGGTTCTGGTAGGTCTAACATCTTCCGAGCCCTCTCTGAGATCCTGCTCTCTGGAGCGTTTTGTGGGGGTTGGGCCAGTTAGTCAATGGAACAGTGCTCGTCCCTCACGATGTCAGGCTAGTGATGGCTAGTGATGCCTGCAGAAGTTTTGACCGCAAATCAACTTTCGAAGGTTTCCTACAAAGACGGAGATCGACCTTGGGAAGACTTCACACTGCGAGGCAGCTTGGGGCCAGTGCTGACAATTTGCGTGGTTCTTCAGCCGAAGAAGGAGATGAACAGTTGGGGAATGGCAGCAGGCATGAGCAAACATGATGGTGTTCTGGTCAATTATGTATTTCTCGATCCGGTTGGAATGTGGCAGATAAACAGGCGGCAAAATCAAAGCGGTGCTGCGGCATGACGCTCATCGCATGCGCGCATCACTCAAGGAGGCGGTGCGAGGAGAGTCGTGGTGGCCTCCGTGCGGCACGGTGGCTTGGCCGACAAGGCAAGTGGCGGAATTCTTAGTTTCGAGCTGTGCCACTGCAGTGCAGGCTGGCATCAAGTCTGGGGACCTCCTGGTGTCAATCAATGGCAAGAAGGCTTGGAGCAGGGTCTGAGGACCTGAGGGGGTTTTCGCGGAGAGACGATGCCGCAGACGGTTCCAGGACTTTGCCGGGCTTTCAGCATCGAAGATCCTCCAGAGGCCCTTGTAGCGTCACCGATGCGAAGGGCCGAAGGGTGTTGGGAAAAGGTCCCCCCTCTCTTGCAGGATGCGGGGAACGGTGACGCTGGTCTTCCTTGGCTTCATCGGCAAGTGGCATGCAGAGGTGCGGCTGAACACCAAGGACTCCCAGGGGCTCTCAGGGCCTTGCCGGCTTCGACTCTTTGGACTGTCTTTGTGTCTTTGAGCCTCTAAGACTCTACGTAGGGAACCTGCCCGGTGAGGAGTCTCCATGCGGCTTGCAGTCCGAGGCGACTTCGACAGCCGAAGATCTCGTGCTTTTCAAGAAGTTTTTGAACCTCCCTTACTGCAATCATGTGGGCACAGCATTGGACATAGAGCCGCGTTCTGTGCAGATGCCCATCGCCTTGGGCCGGCCCGATGCGCCTCTGCAGGCCAAACGGAAACACGTCACGTGCCACACCGGCAGTGAGTGACCCGGGGAAGACGGACACCAGCACACCCAGATCCAGTAGCTACGAGAAGGAGTCATGGCCATTGCATCTGCCCATGATGCAGGTCTACGAGGAGATCGTGTTTCAGCCAACTACGGCACCGCTCTTGTCCCTTGCCGGCAGGAGCTGAATTTTCCACAGTGCCGAGTCAAAACTGCGAAAGGGGGTTGGATCAGGTTGGCAGTTCCGCCGGAGCCCGGCAGCTGCAGGTGGGGGGTCGCAATCCTCAGCGCGCTTCGTGTTTTTGCATCCTTCCTCCAGTGCTCGGAGGCCCAAGCTCACGCTGCCGCAGGGAGACATGGGAGAAGTGGATGAAGTGGACGACTCCAAGGACAAAAGCGCACCGGCCTTTGCGGATCCCCAAACTCGCGCCAGCCTTCCCTGCAGGATGTGGCCTCGGATGCCACGCCTGAAGACGTCATGGACCCGGCGCTGGACGCCGAGTGGTGTCAAGTGAGCATCGGACATGGCTAGCAATAGAGTGCAGTAGCGAGTTGCCGAGTTGACGTTGGAGGGCAGGGCAGAGGAACCACAGAGCGAAAGCGGCCGCTGAAGCACTGAGTGCAGGATCTGACGAGGAGCCAATCGACTTCCTCTCAGTCAGGCCCTGCAGCCTGCACCAGGGATTTGGACAAACTGTGGGACTGTATGGATGATTGCTGGCAGTGCGGGCAGTGCGAGGCAATACAGTACAGAAGTCACAAGAGCAAAGCACCTAGAGTGAACTTGGGCCTCAGTGACAACATTTTCGATGGTTCTTGTGACTTGGCAAGCACACTTTGCATCGTTTTGTCGGGCTGGGCCACAGCCGTCGAACCCCATAGACCTAGGCAGCGAGCTTGACCCACTACTCTGATTGTCGTGCTTAGCAACATTGGTAATGACTAATATGACTATGATAACGACTATGACTTACTTATTGTTGACATTTCATAGTCATGGTCATAATAAGAGCTGTTATTGTTAAGAGGGTTTTGGTTCAACACCTCTTTGTAAGAGCTCTTGAATATTATTGGCAGAGATCGCATAGATGTTGAGCAGGCTGGCAAAGCCGTGCCTCAGAGGCCCGAGGGACAAATTGGGCCTTCATGGGTTTGGCTTCAGAGTGTTCAGGATTATCAGGATCGTATGGCAAATCGTTTAGGGTTTGGAGTATGATTTTAGGGTTTGGGTTAGAGCCCAAACCCTAAACCCTAAACCCTATTATCCCTTGGGTTCTTTTTCAAAGCTCCTTCCGAGCGCCATTGCAAGGGCGAGGCTGCCAGCCTGGCGACCCCCCGCACCCTCCAGGCGCCGAGTTGGGAGCCCGAAACTACGGGCCCCCTAAATCCCAACCCCTAATGGACCCCAAACTATGGGAATTATGGTATATTCCTTATTATGGGTAATAATGCAGGATTTATACCATCAACCGTAGTCCTAAGCTCTCAAACCCAAAGCGCCAAACTACTCAACCCTAAACCCTGATTGCGAGTCTGAGCCTTTCTTTGGCCATCTTGAGCAAGGCAAGGTCCCCAGCCAATAAATATGTGTATACTGTATATATATATACATATATATATATAAGACACATATATATATATATATGGT